GTTTTGCGCCCTCGCATGGAGCTGGGGAATTGAGCGATGGAGCTGACAGACGATCGCTTCCGAAGAATGCGAACATGCATGCCTCCCACTGTAGAGGATCACATCCTCGAGCGGTTTTAGCTCGCTATGCGGTGGCCAACAGGGGAGACAAGCAGTGCTGTAGGGCTTCGGGCCGTCTACACCCAAGAGACTACGTAGGCGTGTGTTCCAGCTCATTGTGGAGCAGAGGGCCCTGTCACCACGTAGTGAAGTCGGACCAATTTCGACCAGAAGAGAAAACGGGGGGAGCAGGGTTGTCACGAGAGACATCATCCGCTGGATGGCCATTCTTTTCGACCGCGAAACAGAATGCGATTGCCTCAAGCTACGGCTGCTGTTTGGTACAGCGCACCCTACCTGTACGGTGTTCTCAGACCGAGGCCAAGTAGATTCCCTCAAGCCCACGTCAATCTGCACGGCCGCCATTGGCCTCCATCACATGGTAAGACCATAGAGAAGACTACACGAGGATGCGGATCACATCATCCGCAAGTCAGAGGCGGGGCGGCGGACTTGTTCTCTTGTCAGTCGTCCGGCCGTAAGGCTTGCCTCGCTGGGCTCGCCACTGTAGCCCCTTCGCATGGAGTGACGCCAGACAGGCACTACCTTTGCATGGCTAGATCGACCGTATCTCTGTTGCCCCTTTCCGAGAAGTCGCTGCAGCATGTCTCCCGCCCAGGGCATTCCCACGCCGGGTTTGATTGGGAGCGGAGGCCAGCAGGAAGGGAAGTCTGGTTGAAATACATTGTTCCCTGTTATGACAAACGTTGACTTCTCCATGACGGACTCTGGGGCGTAGGTCCAGAACGCCCCGGAAGCCCCGGTCTTTCCGTTATCCCTTTCTCGCAATCTAAGCTACAGTGTAGCCATCACTCTGATGAACAAGGAAGGTGCTCCTTGACTCCGGACCCCCCACACTGAGCCGCCGCTCTATCGCACCAGACCGCACCAGACAACCTTGTCCATCAAGGGGGCTGGCCATTACTTTGATGAAGTCCCCTCAGCCTATTCCGGATAAGAGGAAAGTAGCATGCGCGCCAACTCAGGGATGTTAGCGTAGGGGTCCTTCCCAGCCTCCGAGTATTGCCAGCGGGGCTTGGCGTGCGCCACTCAAATGTGCGAAGACCAAGATCGTCATAGGCCCTGGGTGCGAAGCGTTTCGGAAAAGGCTCGGCAGGGCGAGACCTTATCCACCATCACCCTAGTACACTCTTTCATCATGCTTTTTGCGTGGTACATTTGTAGGTGGGATTTTCGGCCAACGGACTGCCTGTTATCCGAAGTAGTCGCAGTACACCATAGTGTCACGTGAGTATCTATTATCATGTATGTGGGGTAGTCATCTGATGGACACACCCGAGCCGAATAGCAAGTTACGCTAACCATTTCGGGAAAGCTCGAGAAGGTCTGGAGTACCCATACTAATTGTGCCCGGGGCCATAGCTCAGGAAAGAGTCCCAGTGGTGTGCAATTAGCTGAGCTCCCCCACCAAGAAAGACGTTCGAATGTGTGCAAGCCACAGCTACCCCTCGAGAGGAAATTCTTGAGATCCCACCCCAGGCTGGACGGCCGGGGTGGGGCGAACCAGGCTACGGCTTCGCACTCCAGAGGGTGGGATGGTGCTGGTGGTGTGTGAGTAGTCATGAAAGATAGGTCAGGGTGAGACCCATGCCAGGTTGAGGAGATACGTATTGACACCAGGGTATATATCTGTCGTGCTAACCTTTCCTGGGCAGAGGTCATGACCTCTGCCCGGTAATGTACTAGCGTTCTGTATGCCGCCATGGATCGCATTCTTCCAGCGCTAACTGTTTGAGGGCAGAGGTCATGACCTCTGCCCGAGTCGAGACTAGCCTATCTGTACATGGCCCATCCCTTGCTCCTCCGCTATTGTTGATTGCCAAGGTCTTGGTTTCTACCCCCTAAGCAGGCCCCAGGAACTGATGGTAAAGCACACACCGTCACATCAGTGTAACCACCCTCAATCACTCCGGAGAGGGGGTTCGATCGGCTCTACTGTGGTACCTGCCACAGTAGTTACTGATGGAGCTGGAAAAAACGATTTTCGGGCATGTCCACCCCGCCCTGCTTGGCATAGCAGTCTACCCGTGCTGGTTTGGCCGACGCGTCTGGTCATCTCACCTAGCGGTCCCCCGACTCGGCCTCTGACAGCTGTTGTTCTTCCACCAACACAGTCATCGCCTGCGTACATGCTTCCTCAGCCCAGTCGTGCAACAGCATTATAGCACAATGAGAGACAGACAAGACAATGCTAGCGTCAGAACACGGCCTGGAGGCTTGCGCAGCAGTGTCAGCTATCGCCAACGCGCGTCAGGCGGCAAGATATCTAATCGACGTACAGCACTCGCCGTATCCAGTGTTGCAAGCCCTGCCCCATGGCTGCCTATCCCTTCGAAGTCTTCCCAACAACAAGGCTCTCAATTTAGGACCTACCGAATTCAAAAGCCCGCAAAAGAAAAAAGAAACCACCTCAAGACCTTCTGCCAGAAAATCCCGCGGACTCTCGAGGCTTGGCAAGAAAAGAGGCGCAATCTTCGTATCACCACTGCAGACGACATTCGGGCATTTTTCTATGACATCATCTCACCAGACGGCCCGCCGTCGTCGACGACACCGGCAGACCTGGACGACGTCAAGAAATACATTACAAGCAAACGCAGGTCCCCAGGCAAAACCGATGACCAGCGAGATGCTTGCCTGTCTACGATGCAGGAACTCGTCTTTTTTGGGGAGTGTCTCGTAGCTTCGGTTCTTGGTGTCGAGCCGGCCGATGTGCATAAGGCCACCAGGCAGTATTATTCGGATCCCTCATATGAAGAATGGAAAGCACGGCGTTATCGGCGTGCGGCGTTCGTGATTTCCAAGTGGATGGGCCAACTGTACGAGGATTGCAGTTCTGCCGCCTTTGAGCTATTTCTCCACGGTATGCATCTCAATCTAAGGCCGAAGGAATCACCGCTTACCAGCCGCTTAGTCGGTACTCTGTCCAGCTTCGAGAATTCGGTAAGATCTAATGAGAACAACAAGGCCTTCTCCAGGGTGGTGCGGCCGCTGATACCAACCGAGCTGTGCGTGAAAGACGCTTCGCCTCATCCGCCTCATCTAACGTTCTACCTACCCTTCCTCGTCTGGGCCAGCATCTTCCTCAACGTAAAGGTAGACTGCTTTGATGAAGTCCGCCAAGCATTCCTGTCGGTCAAATTTGTTCACTCCGACTTCGTGCAGTGGCTCTTGTTTCTCGCCGAAGGCCGTCCTGGAGTCCTTGGCCTGGTACAGTCGGCACATGACGCTTGCTCCATTGCGAAGCCCCGTACGCATGACGCAGTCGCATCTAGCCGCACAACAACGGAAACTTTCACAGAAAGCGGCGCATCGCAAGGCTTGAACGCAGAGGTCGACCAACACCATACCGCGGTCGCTCGTGTCCCACACGACGGGGAGCAGGAGCTTCCGGTGCGGCGCGACAATGTCCCTCTCTCTTCTTCGCAAACAGCCGCCTTTGGACATCCCATACACTTCGATGCTTCTATGCTCGCCATCAACCATGGATTGTACTTCCCGAATGATGCGCAGGCCACAGGCGATGTAGGCACTGCCGTCGATTGCTACGGCTTGGGTCGACCGGTTGAGGGCTCAGCCTGCACCATGGACATGGGATCTCTCGGTGCCGCCGCACTGTCCTCGAATTCGGCGGGCGCGTTGGGCTGTGGTTCCGCTGTGGACTCGGCCTGGTCCATGACGAACATAGGGTCAGAATGCATAGATGGCGTCGAGCTTCGCATCGAGCTGTGAGCAAAAGGGGGTGCCGGGGTCTCTGGCCATATCGTCATAATGATCATGGTTATGCCGCACTCTACAGGGCGTATCGAAACGTTCTCCCGTAACTGATACCCTGCGTGAGGACCCCATTCTACACCACGTGCCGTGTCTATATTATCTCTAGGTATAAAATCGACAGTAGTGCGAAGTTCCCCGATCGGAATGAGAATATCCGTTGCACCCGGGCGAGTCGTGATAGTCTGGCCGGCCTCGAGCAACACCGCTCGTTGTCTTGATCGCACGTATTTGCACCGGAGCAGTGACTTCAGCGTGTCTCTCTCTCCGTCATTCTATTAGCCTTGCGTCTTCGTGGAGAATAGATCTACCCACACGTTGATCCAATACTAGTTTGCACGGTTCGCCAAGCGGTGGTCGCCATTCATAAAATAGGCCTCTTGCGCCTGACTGAATTCCATGTTCATCGGTCCGCCGCCGAAAAGATTTTCCTTCGATAAGAGCGTCTTTCGATTTGGTCGCGAGGCCGCGTACCTCGTCGTTCAACGTGAAGGATTCAAAATTTTTGCCATCCATTTCGAATACGGACAGTCGGAGCAGGGCAACTTCCTTGGCCTCGACGTCGGGCGGGGAGATGTGGGTGTTCCGGCGGGGAAGAAAGTTGGCATCACGGGCAAGGGCCAGTCAGGCTCAAGATGAAGCCGGGAGCGGATAAACCCTAGTCCGGCACTGACGCTCCTCAAAACAACAACGGCGGTAAGCATTACACACGAAAGCGAGGGAATCAGTAATATTATGTGCATCCCGAACCGAACGAACAGCCACTCCGAGCGTCGAGCCTCTCTACGTTGCAGGCGTCATCAATGTGACGAAAAAGACGAGAAGATAAGAAATAGCTTTAAACTTACTTTCAAGTCGAACCGATTTTCACGTTACGAGTACCTGTGGGCGAGCTCCTCCAGCGATGAGACATACTTCGCGGATCGGAAAGTAGACCAGGCCTGCTACGACCGATGGCAACACAAGTAGTCAGGCGCTTGGCGGCAGCATTGTGGCTCTGGATGCCATCGATGCCTGTGACGGGGACAGACACGCTTGTTCTCGACGGGCATGCGCCGGTTCCCTGAGCTTTTAATCCGTCAAGTTCCTCGACGAATTAATCAGGACAGTCTTGTGCATACCACTCGCAAGTACGTATGGAGCGATGTGTCGAAGGAGAAGAGGTCCGTGGGACGCGAAGACTCTGTACCGGCACCGGTTATGAAGCTACGCAGATATACAACTTTAGCGGTGGAGGGAAATGACTTTTAGGTAGGACAATTGAGGCACGAAGCTACTGAGTAATGAATGTTTGCTACTGCTTAAGCTACATGAAACACCCAGAACCCGCCCCAGCAGTTGCTTGCTCGACCTTTTTCTCCCTTACAAAGGCCAGGGCTACATTACGACATGCAAGTCACAGCACGGCACGTAAGTCACCCGTTCGTCTGCCTCCACAACAGGACCCAAAAGTTATCTTTGCTGTCTTTCCCAACCATCTTTATAACTTCTTGCAAGTCGAAAACAAAATGGAAGTCTAATGGGGGGTTAGCAGCAGTATCACCACTTTCCGTATTGTAGTTCAACCTTCGGATTCTTCCAGCTCACAACTCAATGACATCTTCCTTGCCACCAATATCACCAGACGATATGTCCGTGGACGGATCTACTCCGGACATCTTGAAGTCTTCGATGATGGTAACAAAAGCTCGATTTTCTGGATATCCGGCTTAGGTTGATGTTGGTATAGAATTCAAGAAGTGGATGGTGCAGTCGTATGGATGTTCGCAGATCCAGGCAATTGAACGATCTTTTATACCTTGGCCTATGTATAGAAAGTACAAGACGATACTCAATACAAGAAAAGCCGTCGTCTGGATCACACAGCTCGATGCAATGGGCGGCCGTCAAACCTGGCCGCAGCATGTTGCAGGAGGCGTTGTGCCAACCCCTGTAATCCTGTACGCCGCCAGCGTGGGAAGATCGCCCAGCAAGACCATGAGGTCTATGTGTCTCTCCGGGAAAGTGTATTGGTTCGATTCAGGGGCCGAGGAGGAACAGCCGGGGATAGAGGTTGGCCATCCCGTATGGAGGATGACAGCGCACGACAACGTCAACACTGCAGCTGGTTTCCATGGGCGCTTTCGCAAATACGACCATGACTTGCGTCGGGTAGCCAACAGCTCTGAATACTTTCCGAGGCTTGTAGCTAAGGCCAAAAGTAGGGCTTGGATCAGGGAAATTCATGATATGATGGCACCCTTGAACAAAGGTCATGTCCTTGGCTTGCATGGCCCGTCGTCGGCTAGCCTGATATGCGGCCAGTCATCACTTATGTTAGCATTGGCTTCGAAGAATACACCGATATCTGTTATCAATTCCAGACTGCAACCATCCCATCTCACAACAGGTTGAACAACACTCCATTCGTTCTAGACCAGTCATAGATAGATTTGCGTTGCTAGTCTTTGACGGATCATTGGATTTGTTCTACTTCGTCTTGATTGAAGTTGGTTCTCCTGTCGTCGTGCGTTCGTAGGCTTGGACTGCAAGTTTGACATGAGGCATGGGCAAAGCCTTATCCTTATATTTCAAGTAAAACAACGATGGGCGTTCATGTCTCGAAGCACATCAAGGGCTTGACATGGAGTTTGTTTCCAGAAGATGTCTACAACTAATTTGATATTCTGACAATAGATTAGTCGAAGTCATTTATCCTACACGTCTCCTGTGAAACAATGGATTTCAGACTGGCTTGTAGCGGTCGGGTCAATGAACAAGGTTAGATTTCTATCACTGGACTCTAAGAGGCTAATCTTGCGGTTATCCGTCTTTGCCACAGGCCTAACCTTCGCGTTCGAAAGCAATATGGTGATTTCAAGATACTGTGTATACAAATGTTCACCGAGAGCATGACAAGCATTGAGGTGAAGAGTCAAAGATGCTACCTTCGGGCTGTCACACAAGTGAAATCCATTAATAGTCAGGAATCATTCAAAAGGTACCACTCGAACAAAGCGTTCGTAAATGAGTGGCTATATCAGTCAATTGATGGTATTTACACAGGATCAATTTCCACTCGCTAACCTTGAAAGACTTGATGTGCAACCATCTTAAGGTTCGTCAAATGCTTGACCATAGCCACAGTCTTCTAGAGATGCGAAAGAAAGAGGGCAACTGGTTGAAAGTAGTGAGTAAGTCCATTAAAGACTGATCGGCATCAAGGAGATCGAGAGTAGGCAAGACTAGTCGGGTGTCTTCTATTTTCAGCGGCTCGTTCTGATCCAATGAACTAAGCCGGAGGTCGTATGTGGGCCTCGGAAGAACTGCTGGGCATTTCCCCGATCCTAGGCTTCTGCAAGCCCCGCTATTATGGCCAGCCTCCTCAATCTACTGGGCTCTCAGGATTGTGTGCTCTCAGTTACTTGCTCTCTCAGAAATCTGGGTTCTACATTTTCTGCGTCCTCAGATTCTTGCGTTCTCGGACAACCCCCGCTCTCAATCTCTTTCGCCTAGTTCTCTTTCTTTCCCCTCGATTGCTCTCAAGATCTTGCGTTCTCAAATTCTTGCGTTCTCAATTTTTGCTTTCTCGAAATCCCGCATTCTCATATCGGTGCGCTCTCATATCTCTGGGCTCATATCTCTCTGCGGTCTCGGAGATCTGCGTCTTCAGTCCTCTGCGTTCTCAAGTTTCTGCGTTTCTAGTTTTCCTGCGGTCTTAGTTGTCTGCGCTCAAGTTGATCTCCTGCACTCGATGCAGGAACCTGTCTACTGATTCTGAATCCAGAGTGGGATACGCAAGCGTATTGCAAAACACGCTATGACGAGTACACTACCACCTCCAGCCTCCGAAGAGAACAGGGCCTTTAGTTTCCAGATTATTTTCGAGCCCAAGCTTCGCCCTGAGCCAATGTGCCGGCTCATTATGCAGAAACGGCGAGATGTGTTTCACCTTTTGTCATTCAACGAATGCGTGGCACTTGGACTCCTTGTTGGAAAGAATGATTTCCGACGTCTCAGAATATCAAGCTCCGATGTCGAGATCCAGAAACTTGCCCAGGCTGCCGTAAACAACCTGGAAGATCTAAACAAATCCTGGCCGACATTTTGGCGAGCACAAGATAGACCTGAGCATTCCTTATTGGTTCTACAGGGTACGTGATCTCATCCTTAGCCCGCCGCCTTGCCATACCTCCCCCCTTGCTCTACCAAGCCTGCACACCATCAGAAGATTAACTTAACATATCCAAGAGGCGTCTTTCCATTTCGCGAACAACGATCTTATCGATATCAACGACCGGAAAGAATGGGTGTCCCGTTGGGCTGGACAACTTGCTAGATTTGAACTGCAACCTGGCGCGAAAAGGCGCGGAAGAACACATGAGCAAGCTTCCTCGGCTTTGAGAGCAGAGATGGCGGTGGTGTCAGAGGTGCGGCCATTTCTCGGCAGTTATCTTTGTGTGGGGTTCAAGAAATGCAATGAAAGACAGCGCGAAGTGGCAGAGCATCCTTCAAGCCTTTTCACAAAAGCTATTGAGCTGTATTTCGCCAATGAAGCCGAGAACGATTTCAAACTATTCGTCACCTTGAACTCCTCCACAGGCAAATATCTTGAAGACACTTTCACGACCGATTTCGCCGCGCTTGGAGACTTAACAAGCGACTGGCTTTTGAGCGCGTTGCTCAGCAGTCAGGCTCATGTGACAACTGGGGAGTGTCTTGACTTTTCGCTACATGAGAATGGCAACGATGTCGTGGTAGAGATGAAAATTGGGTTTATGAGTGGGCTGGATCTTGCCAAAAAGATGTTTTCTTGAGAGAATTGGCTTTCAGGCACAGTTTATTTGATACTACACCACATCTCGTCGACAATCACAGACTGGCCGATGTCAACAACTGTTTCCCCATCCTTCGTGACGTCTAGCGACGCGACCACCTTGTGTCCCTTTCGAATGCTGCCTTCCTTGCTGCCTTTCCAATGCAGAACGAATGCCGTATCTTTTGCTGTGCGAACTTCATATTGGATGTACTTGTATCCGTCTTTCGTATGGTCGGCCTTTCTCGTCTTTTGATCAGCATATCATCTAGACCAACTCCAAGGTATGCAAGATCTACCTCAGGCATCACCAAAGCAGTCCCATATACAAAAGCGTGCTCGTGTTCCTTAGCAAGCGATTTGCTATACGACGACGTAGTTGTAGAGGTTTCGAGGATGGTCGGTACAGAGGACTTCTCGAACTAAGGTGGGGTGTATTAGCTTTTCAGTACTATCAGCAGTGATTGGGCACCCACGCCGTAAGTGTTGACTGAGCCTGACGACGATAGAGTCCAATCAACCACCCGCGACTGAGGTGGAGAGCAACAGTAAAGCTCTGAAAGAGCTCTCGAATCGAGAGTGGTCTCCTCAAAAGGAAAAGGTTATGACTGCACCACCGTCACAGGGCGGATGTGAGTGTAGCGGGGCTTAGCTTGAAGGCTCGGGAATTTGCTTGTGCCTTTGACGGATTTAATGGCACGGGAAATATATCATCCGATCCCCTCAGCTTGTTCAACCTGAGTGCTCTGTCGCAATTGGGTCCACAGTCTAGCCAGAGCCTTCCCCCCACCTCAAGTCGAAAAAACCAGAACGAAACGAGGACACGGAAAAGTGGAGGTGTGCCTGAAAGTGCGGGGTTAGTCATTGTATTCTATTTCTTATGTTACCTCTTACCGACGCATTCCTGTCTGCTGATCTCACATCAGAGGATGCAGAACTTTCGGGTCTGTCTCGAAGAGATGATTAATTGTGATTGCACTGCTGGTAGTCTCTGATAAGGTCTTCGTACCTGTTGTTAGGACGTTTCCATCTCAGAGCTACCAGCCTTTACTCATTACCTAAGCGGGAAACATGAATATACAATCAAACAAGTTCTTCACCCTACAACTACGACCGCTTTCTTCCGTCCGTTCGATTCGTACTGTTGTGGGATTGAGGTCTCGGGAGGTATCTTGACCAAACCAAAACCAAGCGTCAGCTCTTCTGTAGAGACTTGGGCCACATCTAAAGACTTGAAAGGTGCCTATGCGGAACTTTCTGCCGGCCCGACAACGAATTGGGTCGGTCACGTGGCCAAAGCCGTTGTTAGTTTGAGGCAATCACTACCCAGATTGTACGATTGGAAAAACATCAACAACAGCGAGAACGAAATTTTTGAAATCGGAGCAAGAACAGCGCCACAATACACTCCGAAAGGTCAATTGGATAGCCGTGTGCTCGTCGCGAAGCCCATAACGACGTAGGCACCATGGCAACCCCATGGCCCCAGGAGCAAACATGGCCAACGCACCATCGAG